TAGGGAAAGGAACCAAATCCTGCATCACCAAAAGCAATAAAGGACCTCATGGAAGGAGTCCTGAGTGAACCACAGCCTGCCACAGCAGACACCACACACCAACCTTGGAGATGCTCAGCTCTTCGCCAGTGTTGCCAAGACCCCATTGTGTGCTCACATGGCACATAACAGCTTCATCAGGACAAAGCTTGGCTTGGTGACCCCCCCTTGAAAGACATGGGGATGAAGCAGAAAGATGGACGATGTAGGAGGCTGTAGCCATCCAATACGTGGTCCCATGGGAGAAGGAAGAGAAGCACAATACACACGCACACAAGGGATTGTGCCAAGCTCCTGGGCTTTGTGACCCAAAAGGAGTTGTTTAGGATGACCTTAGGGCCAACAACCAATTTCATGATACCTTTGTAATGAATTAGGGTGAAACAACCCTAATCAACCAGTTCTATGATTTATTAATTTGCTCAAGGCCTCTCATGGCCCAATCAAACGGAGCCTGAGACAAGCTTCGTTTCCCATCTCTCACATGACGCAATGTAAGTGGCATCTGAGACAAGCTCAATGGCCAGGGTCTCGCAGCCAGGAAGCACTGGTCCAGCTGGGTTCTTCATCTCCCCTCACCACCTTCAAACCTCACCCCTGAAAATACAGCAGCAGAATTTGCTTTTACAGGCACTTGGGTTCATCCCATGCCTAATTTTGTTGGGAATCACAGAATAGTTTGGGTTGGAAAGGACCTTAAGACCATCCAGTTCCAACCTCCTGCCACAGGCAGGGACACCTCACACAGTTTGAACCCATCACCCCTTGTCCTGTCACTCCAGTCCCTGATGAAGGTCCCTCTCCAGCATCCTTGTAGCCCCCTTCAGACACTGAAGCTGCTCTGAGGTCTCCAGCAGCTTCTCTTCTCCAGGCTGATCAGCCCCAATGTTCTCAGCCTGTCTCCACACAGGAGGTGCTCCAGCCCCTGCTCATCCCCTTGTGCATAAAGAAACGGGGATAGTGCTGAGCCCAAGACTGAGCCAGAGGAGTAGACATTTAACCCTTCCAGGTCTTCCCTCTCATAGAAGTGGTGTTTACAGCACCAAGAATGGCCTTTGGGAAGTAAAGATCTGTTTCTGCCTTGGGAGACTACCACGAATGAAACCCTCATTATGACAACCAGTTCTAATCATTGCCCCATTCTCTTCCACTTGGGCAAATTAAGCCTTCAGGAGTCAAAGAGTCCAGCTACAGCTTGAGAAATAGATGGAAGAGATTACACAGAACAGCTCTAAAGCTAAAAACAAAACCAAATTGCTCATCCAGGTATAGATGCACTCTAGGAAGGGATCAGAGACTTGCTTGTCTGGCCCACCTTGGAAGGAAACTAATCTGTCCTGTTTCACAAGGGAAGGGGCAGTCTATAATGCAACCCATTAAGCTCGAATCACAGCATTCTTGTGACAGGCATCAGCTCTCTGTCTCACCAACCCTCCTGCAATACAGGGCAACACCAGGACAGAGATCATGGGACAAGAAAGAGCAGGGAACTCCTGGAAGCTACCTCACTCTGCAGAGAGCTCACATCAAACTCTTCTCAGGCTCATGACAGCAGAAGGAACTTACGAGCCCTGCTGTAGCTGTGAAAGCAGTTATTCAAAGGCTTATTTCTGACTCAAGACAATCACTTATAATTGCAGCTTAATCCCGACTTGAATTAAGAGTATTAATAAAGCAATTTGTTGGAATTGCTCCTGCCCCAGCTTGCAGTGGCTCAGGATTAAGGTCTAAAGAAGCTGTTCTTGGAGTTTGGGAAAACCTCAGCTGAAATGAGCTCTTCCTGACTCTCTATTTCCCTTTTGAATAACACATCTGGCTGAAAACATCACTACTACAGCTAAAAAGCATTCATCAAAAGAACCAGCCTGTGTGTTGTCCATTCATCCCCTGTGGGACATCCACAGCAGGCAGCCATCCCCCATCCACAGCTGCACAGGGCAAGTGCCAGTTCTCCTTCACCAGGGCATAAACCTGATACCCTGGAGTTTTACCTCTGCTTTTGAAGCCTTTCCTCTGCCTCTTATTAAACTGCCCTTTATTTTAATCACAGGGATCCAACGTCTCACAGGTTAATGGTTTGCTTTCCTTGGCAGCAGTGGTGCCGCACTGACAAACACATGGCAGAGGTTAATTTCAGTCCCATTTGAGCTTATTTTACAGCAGTCTGATCGTGGCTGGCTGCTGATGGACACAGAGCACAGCTGGAAACTCCGGGAGCTCCTCAGGCATGTTTTATTTATGCCAAACCACAGACGTGATCTTCTCTCCTGTGCTGGAAAGGGAAATGCCTCCATCCATTGCGTTCAGAGACAGAGGCTGAAGCACAGCAGTGATAGCCTCAATTAAGTGCTGCTCTACCCCTTT